GAAAATAAAAAAAGAATTAAGACCATAGAAAAAGCAAGTCCTGGATCTCTGATCTGGTCAGTTTTAAATGTTGTTTTGGCCTCCTGGTTGAGTTTGTCGGATCAAAATCTGATTTTTTTTTTCCTTAAATCTTCAGTCTATATGTACAAAAAAGAGGTCACTTGGTTCTGTTATGTACTTCTATTATTGAGGCTTTCTCCTGCAAATTCTACAAACAATGTTCTCATCAGTCACATGTCTTTGCTAATCAAACCACTCATGTTTAGCTCTTAATAGAGATAGCTCTGGATTGATTTGCTCCTGATTTTACCATATAAACTTGGAAATTATGTACGAGGAAAAAGAGGTGAGAAAAAGGACCTCGTTTTGGGAATTGTTCTCAGAAGGGAACCATCGAAGGAGAACACCGAGGTTCATTGCACTTGGTATTAACTTGAACAGCAATGAAGTCGTTACCTGTAACAGTTAGCATTTCAAGTGTAAGTATGCTTTGAGCTATATATTATTTCAAGTATGATCTCTTGGAATACCAAGGCTTGTTCTTATGTTGATGTAACTTACGAGACTCAGAGCTGTTGTGCCCAAAAGGAGGAGATACATTTTCCCCTACATTATCATTCGTTATAACAATAAGTAACAAAGTTTGGTCATAAGAAAATTGTAAAGAGTGTTCAACTACAAGGGGAAAAAGGTGTCACCTCGATGACGTGTAGGTTTGACGCTCGGCTTAGAAGAACAAAGGCAAACTCGCCAATCTGAGCAAGCAGCACCCCAACCTGTTACATTTGCGTCATCAAATTTATGCAATCAGTGAATTATGAGTTTCAAAAAAAAAAAGATATGACGAAATTCATAGAAGCTTTAGCGGAGAGGCCAAAACTCACATGGAAAGATATCCTCATGTTGTACCTAAAAGCCTTAACTACTACTGCTGCAAGTGCCGTCTTAATAACTATGACTAGAATCACAGATGCCAGAAGGATATCCACGTGGTTCCATAGAAAATGCACATTTATAAGCATCCCGATACTAGATAGGAAGAGAGCAGCAAATAAATTACGAATTGGTTCCACCTGCATCAACAAGTGAGATTCCAAAATGTTAATGACCCTGAGACTTTGTTTCTTAACAAGTACTCACAGCGTAAGTTGACCTGAGTTGAAACAGTACCTGCTCTAGTGTATGTTGAGCAAAGTCAGTTGTAGACAACATAACCCCAGCCACAAATGATCCCAACTCAAGACTAAGACCCAGCTTGTCACTGCACTGAAGAAGTTTTGCAAGAAACCAGCACAAGTTAAGAATGGGAGATCACATAGAGACACGCGTCTATTATAATCATCATTATTATCTTTTGTACTCCATCATTAAGATGCAAGCTTAGAAAGCTAATCCAGCACCAATATACATAAGATAATGATAGATCAGACTTACCCATGCAGATAGTAAGCAGAATGCCACAGCAGCTAATTGGTAAAGTTCATTTGTCTGCATTACATAATGAGAAACATTGGCAATCATGCGGATGTCACTCAAAGAAAGATAGGATCATAGTCAAAGCAGCGTTGGGGAAGATAGATAGTCTAAAACTTACTTGAGATGATAATTGAATCATTAGCTTCAGAAAGCGGGGTACAAATGACCATGTTAGTAGTGATGCAACAATGAGATATATGGATAATATCAGGAGCCTAAGGTTAGAGAAGAAAACATGTTTTATCACAGATACGGTAATGAGAATAAACAAGCGGTTCATGGACAATTTCTTGCTACGAAAACACTTACAGCTTTCCCATTGATATAATTCCTTGTAGTAAACCACTGTTACCACCCAAAACTGGAAGCAATGCGAATAGTAAACCAACAACACAGTCCTGAAAATTCAAAAATAAGAAAGAAAATAGTTGAAGGAAATAATAACTTTACACGATGAAATATTCAATTTGTAAATATAGAATGTCATAAGTGAAACCTGAAAGATAAGTATCCCTATCGTAACTTGACCATGAAGTGAACTTGTACTGTTCCGTTCCACCAAAAACTTTACCACCTGGTCAAATTGACATGAGGGTGAAAAACAAAAACTTAGAGATGAAACAGAAAAAGAGTAGCATTTGTATCGAGAAGAAAAATGACATGAATTGTACCACTGCAGTTGATGACATGGATAGAAAAGCACCAACAAAAATACCCTCCGACAACCTTGCTCCACACAACTGCAAATGTCGACAGATCAATTTTTAAAATAGTTTCCAAATAAATATATGCTTTAGAACATACATGACTGTCTGCTCATACCAAGGCGGTTACACCACACAAAAACATAAGTAAGACAATTTGAAGAAGTCCTCCAAGGACAGCAACTGGGCCAACAACTTTAAGCTGCAGCATAGACACAAGAACAACAGATTATCCCAGTGAAATCGTAAAGTTCACATAAATTTTATTAACAGTCAACAGCCAAATCGATGCCTACCTTAGTCATTGAGAATTCTAAGCCCAAAGCAAAAAGGAGGAAAACAACACCGAACTGGGCTACGGTTTCAACCTGCCATAGCATCAGAAGACGAAATACAAATAATTATGAATACCAGAACAAATTTTCAGAATAAATGACTCAATAAGATGAGGAAAAAAGACAACATGACCTATAGGAACATGTAATGTAGACTCATCAAAAATCTGATTGCTAAACAGTAGAGTATATTATGAACAACCTTAATTGTAAAAGCTCGACAACAGATACGTGCGACAACATGGCAGAAACGAAAGTGGTCTATTGTACAGCAATATTAATAAATACCTGAACCATTTCACTGATGAATTTCAGACCTCCTGGCCCAATGATCGACCCTGCCAGAAGATATCCAACAATGACCTAAGACATGTAGCGATAGTGCAAGATAACATCAGATTAGATAATTGGACCACAGCGTGATCCCCGGGATAATACAAACCCAAGATCAGATTTCTTTCATACTAATTTGTAAGGTTGCATACCGGTTGTCCAAGACACGAGAAGACAATTCCACCAATTGCAGCAAAAACAATAATGACTACCAAGTCTGATATTAATCTGTAAGAAATGCAAGTAACTCTGCATCACAAGACTGAAACAGCAGATTTAATGAAATGCTCCAATACAGAGGAAATCTGAGAGAGACGAACCTCAAATCTACTTGAAGTATAGGATACTTAGATTTTTTGTTCGACATGACGAAAACATTATTCTGAAAAATAGCATGACAAGAAACATTAGCTGCAACTAAAAAATAGAGGTGAGAGAGGATTTAATATCTTAGTATTCCAAAAAACCTTTTTGTCAATAAGAGTCATATCATCAGAATCTTCATTTTCCAGGGAAAACACATCTTGAAGTTGGAATGGTCTTGTGCCACTGGGCAAAAAAGAAAAAAAGTTTGGAGAAACATGTTATAAACAAACCCTCATTGGAAAACTTATCAATACATAAAAATTAATACGAAGTTTCCCATACTTATTTTCTTGTGTATCATTTCTTTTGCCCTTCTCATGTGTTACTTTAGCAACCGTCTCTATTTCAGCCTGGGAAACACAATGGTAAATATCAGAAGGGATAATCTGAATGCAGAGCTGAAGAACATACAGAAACTATAAGAAGTGAGTGAAACCTACTTGTTGATCAGCAACACTGCTGTTAAAGCTAGCTCCATCCGCTCCTAAGCAAAGAAACATGGATTAAGCGAGCAGTGTATAACGAATAGAAGATGTAAGAAGCTTCATTACCCACCAACCCAAATGCAGTCAGAATCACAAACACTAGAATTATCTGTGTTCCCTTTACTTTTCACATGAACCAGAAATGCTATTCTTTTTTCAGAAAAACAACAATTGAATGCTAAAGCTTGAGGAAATAGCTCTGATTCAGAAACCTAACCTTCAGGCTGATCGTTTTCGGAAAATTCTTTCTCGAGAACACGATCGAACATTTTGGCGATACTGCCTTCACCGTTTCCCGGTGCCGTAGAGTTGACGACGTTTCCGTAAAACCGCTCCCGAATTTCCTCATCAGATCTCGCTGAAAAGGTCGTACCAACTAAAAGGAAGACGACGACGAGGCGGAACAAAAATCCAATCAGTGCGAATCTCGCCATGGATCGGAGGTTCCCAGGAAATTGGGAATCGTCGCGAATCGAAATGAGACTGATGATACTTCTTTTTTTTTTTTGTCCCCAGATGAGAGAGTTTGCTTTAGATCCAAAATTGTGATGTTAAATAAACAAAACCGAGTTTTTGGATTAATTAGTGCGATTGGTTTGGTTCTACGTCTACCGTCTTTTTTTGCACGACCCAAATAAATAAAAAATACGATATTCAAAAACACTATGTAGACCAAATCGTCTTTTTTGCCGATGTCACAATCGTACTCTACCTCTATTAGACCAAAAACACTAAATGGTATCAGTCGTACTCTACCTCTATTAACTCTAGAATTCATGTTTCTCTGATCACGATTTTCTCTTACAAACCAAGCCAACGACAGTTGCTCGTATCACTTGGTGGTTTCTTTCATTCACAACGACTCATGGCGATTGATTTATTGGTGCACCGGCAAATAGCTAGCCACTTCCTTCAACAAGGGATAAATTGCCCCAAACCTCGTTGTAGCCTGCGTACATTCAGAGACCACGCTTGTCGGACCAAGCAGGGAATGTTTGCTGCAACAAGATCTTAAATAAATGAGGTGGAATCAGTTGCTTTTCCTGCCAACCAGAAGCATTTACATGTATGGTCCAATCCTCTGGTTTTGACAAAATTCTGATAAGACAAGTGCTTTAGAATTTTCAAATTGCTTTTTCAATTTCTTGTTGACTTATCCCAAGACAAAGAAGTTGGAATCACAACCCGTAAGATGGAATTTTCTTGTCTATACATCCCATTTTAGGAGTAACTTCTTTCTATGGACTGCTACTAATATTCCAGGAACCTTGAGGATTCCTGGATCGTAAAATTTAACATGGTAGATTGTCACGTAAGACCAAGGAAAATGAAGAACGCTATAATGATATATTCATGTTCCTCGCATGCTTTCACAGTTGCAATATATTCCAGGAATGCTGCTCTACTGTTCCATCAGCATTTTCATACATTTGCTTCCCTCAAATAAAWAAGGGTTAGGTATC